GATTCAATATATCAATAAAACTGTACCACGTAATCAACATTCTTCTGCTTCTCGAAATGTTACCGCACCGGCCGACACTGGTAACAAACCCAAATCGAATTTGGATGAGGTGAAAAATTATACAGTCATTAAACTGATTAGATTCATTAAACTTTCATGTTACCAACCAACATGTTTGTAGTGGACAAAAGAATGCTGAGCTCATTCGGATTGCGCGTAGGAAATAACACATAACACACCGCGAATCATTTCGAAACAATGGAAATGGAAAATATGTGGATATGAATTGGCTTTTCGGAAAACTTATCGAAAGGTGACAATACATAATATCGAACACATTTAATGGAAGATTATCTCTTGGCATGGGCATGTCTAATCAACGCATATCAGTTTGTATTGATCGATTCGAAATGAATGGTTGGCTTTCATGTATTCCAACATTCGATGACAAAAGTAGACGCTTCCAATCATAAAAAATGCAACCATTTCAATGAACCTAATTGAATTTATATTACTTTACGTTTAACAATTAGCTAAATTATGGTTCGAGTTATTAGTTATTCCACTAGATAATCATGTTTATTGGCTTGTGTTCATTACTATGGACTTTTTCATCCATTTGCATGCAACAACCCATTTCACAATGGTGAATTCGTTCTTTTTCGCTTTGTTCCTTTCGGATAATGAAATTATAATCACAAAACACATCACACACGATAGGAATGTGGAAGAAAAACCTCTTTGAATATATTAATTAAAAATTTTTTCGAAACCATGTCGATCAATCAGCTTTTCGTCCTTATGCCTTAATCTTTTTTTTTTTTTGTTCGAAACACAAATTTTCCATCCCAAAATATCTAAACGATGGAAGTATAAAAATATATAAGCGATCGAATCAAAAAACCGTTTCTCACGTATTTTTGTCAGCAATTCTGTAGCCAAATTCTGAGAAGCGAAAAAAGAGAGAAACAAATCTGCACAGGTCTTGTTCGTGCACATGCAAAAAAGCTATCCAATCAAAACCATTGCAACGACACGACAATTCAAATTCATAGCTGTATAATCGCTTGTTTCCATTTCATCGAAATCAACAACGAACAATTTCCATGATCTATCGACGAGATTTGGTTTAATGCTCAACACATGCATATATACATCCAAAACGTTCTTCATTCGCTCCGGTTCCCACTTTGGCCACTCTCCTCTTCTTGGCGTTAGTGCAAAAAATTAGTTCCGATGAAATGAAACGGGCGAGACGAGAGCAAGGAGAAAAATGAAAGAAAAATGGCAAACGTGCGAAAAGTGGATGCATGTTGTTGGCGAAAAATAAAACCGAGATTGTCATACACACGCGTAGAAATTCGAGGAATCAACAACTATCAAAATCATCATTGAATTAAATATGTTTTCGTGCAATTCTATTACGTGCATGGCTACTACTAGAGAGAGAATTTTAAGAACGATAAACGAACAAGCGGACAAAAGTGCAGAAAAATTCGCCAGTATTCCTTTTGTGTGAAGTGTGCACACGGCTAAAATAAGAGACGACATTACTTGGCTGTATCGATACGGTTGCGATCAAAACAAACGAGCTGACGACGACGACAGCGAAAGAGCGTATGTGTGCACTGTACAGATCTATGTGCAATGTGCACTAAAGAACAACACGAGAGAAAATCACTTGCAAATAAGCAGCAGCAGCAGCAAGCGAAAAAAAACACACACAACTCAACTCGAAGGCAAATCAAGAACCAAGAATGGGGGGGGGGGAGAACAGGCAAAGCGAGCAGCAGCAGCAACAACAACACTTGAGCATCACATCGCATTGCAAACAAGTCATGTTACATACGCTTCGGCTACAGTATTCGTAACGATATACGATTATAATTAAAGAGTGAAAAGATGTAATAAAGAGAAGAAGAGAAAAAAAACACACAAGAGAAGAACTCAACAAGCAAGCGCACCAACACATAAGGAATTAGATAAGAGAATGCACACAATAAAAATAAAAATCTCTGTGCGATTTTTTACGTTCGTTCTGCTTTTGCTCTCGATCTCTCTCCCTCGCTCTTGCTGCCATTCCACTCTTTCGAAGCATTTCATTTTGGGTGCTCTCGGGTGTGCAAAAGCGAAGAGTAAAGACAACAGGCACAACGAAGAATTACGACAAAACGTATAATTTATATCAAACGAGCGAAATGAAAATAAAATATACGGAGAGAGAGCGAGCGAGCGAGCAGAGAAGAAAGGAAAAAAAAGCACCGAAGTTAAACAGAACCCGAGAAGAGATGAAGCGCACACACAAAAAAAGCGCACACGAACTAATATAAATTAAATGCAAAGAGTGAAATAGCAAACGCAGCCCAGTTGAACAAGTGAATCGCAGCGCGGTGGTGGAAAGAGAAGCAGCCAAAAGTAGGAGGAGGTTTCAGCAAATACACGAAAAAAGGGCGATTTTTATTGTTGTTGTTGTTGTTGTTGGATTTGCTGCTATTTTTTTCCGTCGTCGTCGGTATTTCATTTATTTTCTCTCTGCCACGAAAAGTGTGTGTGCGAAATGGGCACAAAAAGCAATAATTCACTTGTGAACCTTTGTTCGCCTATTTACATAAATCTTTGCAAATACTCTGGAAACACAAGCACCAAAAACGCATACATCTCGCTACACGCATACGCACTGAATAATAATAAAAAAACTCTCAAGTTACGATTATGCGTCCAAATCAACCCTGTAAACGCCAAACGATGCTATGACCGTTTTTCATTGCTATGAAGTTTTTTTTTCCTTCTGAAATTGTTTTTTTTTTCAAACTTGAAAAGCATCTTCGTTGATAAACACATTATATGGTGCAACCCAAAGGAAAAAAGAAGCGAAAAAAGAACGCGTCACTTGGAAAATAGAAAATGGACGAAAAACTCGTTACATTGTTGTAGTTGCAGCCATAAGAGATTGTGACTCGTTAAAAATTTTAACTACCGTTCCCCACCCGTCGTAAAACGCAAATATAGCTCATAAAGTATAAAATAACTAGAACAAAAATAAAATGAAAAATTGGCGAATTTTTTTGGCATTGCAACCAAAGTTGAGTACAACTTCTGTTGCTTGGAACATTAACGACGGGCGATGCGAGACATGTATATCGCCTCAATCCAAAATATCTGCTTAAGCCTCATACGCATTGAGCTGAGATTGCTTGCAATGACATTACGATACTTTTATGACGATGCGCTGAATGAGGCGAACGAGTGAGCGAACGAGCAAGGGCTCGAATAAGCTTAAAGTAATAAAATAGCGACAATAAAATCCGAATCGCAATCATTTCACGCATTACAGTCAAATCGGGAGAGTGAGAGGGAGGGTGGGAGAGTGTGCGATTCATTCGGTGAAGCGTTGAACATTTTGCGTATGGCGTTTGCATGTAAACGCAAATATATTTCTCGTCAAATCGGTCACGTGGGTCCTTTTAAACGAACGAAATTCTCTTTTGGATTGACGACGTTGCTGTGTGTGTATGTCTTTTTCGCTCACTCTCTCCTTACGGTTTTATGGCTTTCATTTTATTTCAAGAGCTTTTTTCTCTGCAACAACAATGAAAACAAAAAAGAATCCAAGCACGAACGCGGCAAATATCCTGCGGTAATATATACTGAAAACGCTACAAATTTTCCAATACCGAACCGAAATAGAATAGAGAGACTAACATTGGCGACAATATGTACAGAAGCATCATTTTGGTTCCGTTGGTATGTGTCAAAAAACGTTGCGCCATGAACTTTGGCCACATTCACTTCGTTGGTAGAGAGCACAGTGGCTTTTTTTAGTTTTCGTTTGCTTTTTTTTTCGACCAAAATGAAATGGCATAAAGTCGAAAACCACCGAAAGTCGCAAGCTTTTCAACACCGATTAATCCAAAACATTACTTCGGTTCGCATTGCACAGAACAAGAAGAAGAAGAAGAGCGAGCGAGCAAGTAAAAAAAACGAAGTTAACTTGCGAATGTGTGACTTACCTTTTGATGCTACGATTATTATGGGTGATGCTGAACCTTACCATACAGACGTTGTGGCTGGCTGGATGTTGAGCGCGTTGGCCAACGCGTTCACGTTCAAAGACACCATATGAAACATCTTACACAGTTGTGCATGTGTGTGTGTGTGTGTGTGTGTGTGAATGTTGCCGAACAGTGAACAAAACTACAAACGGCCAAAGGTGATGTAGAATATTGTAAATTGTGCGGTAGAACATCGAGCAAAACACAAGCGCAAAAACTCACGCCTTTATCTGCTCACCATGTACCCGATACCCAGCTATTTCTTTGGATACGCCCAGTTTTTGTGCAATCTCACTCATACACGCGCGTTCCGCTTGAAGAATGAATAAGCGAACGAAAACCTTGAAATGGGCAGCGTGTGTGAAAGAGACAAGCGTATGAAGTTTCTTTGACGAGATACTTCATGCGGTCACAATACATACACACGTTGAGCCTACGTTTGTACAAAGAGGGAACGGTTAAAATTTACATTTCGATTGCCGTTGTGCATGTATTCGTTTCGGCGAACAATTGAAACCCCGCCGCGTGTACACTCACAGTAGCGTTTCAATATGCTGGATTTTGTTGTTGGTCCTCTCTTCTTTGCACAATGTTGAATTCATCACACATACACAAACGCATGCACAGGCACACACACACACTCGCTCACTGTTATAGTTTCAACGTTTTTGTTTGCTCACACGCTCATGTCGTCTGCTTAGTTTTTGTTATGTTTGACTCCGTGTATACGTAATATCAGCTAACACGCTGTGTATGCTGTGTGTGTCTTGCTTTTTCTGCTGGTGCTAACGAAATCAGCCGAAACCGTTCAATGCGTTGAACTAGCGCATTTAGTTGGCTTCCGACCGTTGCCGTGTGTGTGCATATGTAGAGTGCTGTTTTCACGTCACTTATTCACGAAAATATATAAATTTTTATTTGTGTTCCGTACGTATTTCCTATCTAGAATCCTCATATCATATAACACCGATAACAGTAATTGTGGCGTTTCAAACAACGAAAAAGAATACGGAAAAAAATTATACAACAAATTTGAAACGAAATATTATCTGAGCAAGAAAAAAATTAATTTTTTAAACGAATCGCGACAATCCAATCGAATGCGTTTCGTTAAACGATTCATAATAAAGAAAAATTGTGATTTGAATGGTTTAAACCCCGAAATCTAATTGAAGAATATTTAATCGAAAAGAGCAACAAATCGGCGACGACACACAACTTTATCAAACAACCAAATTGATTGAATTGATAGACACGAAATTGTTTCTAAACCGAACAAAACCGAATATAAAGATGTTTTAACTTTATTTTTTTTTCTTGGCGAACAGTGAATGCAATTTTGGTTGAACAAAAAGAAAAGAAAAACAAACAGAAGCAGCAAAAAATACAAAGCGTTTCTTCAATAAGTGAAACGAACAAAAAAAAACCATAACGAGTGAGTTGATTTGATATAGCGGTAAAACAGGAAAATCGATAAGTTTCAACCGAAAAGGAACAACAACGACAGAAAATAGAACGTTCTATGAGGAAAAAAATTCAAATCGGAATAAAGCGATTGTGTGTGTGTGTGTGTGTGCGTGCTTGCAACTGGGCGAAATCGTTATAAATCAAATTTGGTGGCAGATTTACATTTTTGCGTTTCATTTTTTTTCGGTTTTCGGGGTGCTGCTTTTTTTGGAAGTATGCCAGCCGAATTTTTTATTTGCCTATCAACCGAAAATTACCGTACGTCCGTATGTGTGTGAATGTGTTTTCCATTATTAAATTTTTCGAAAACTGAAGCAGCAAGGTACCAAACTAAATCAACAACAACAATCAAATGTATCCTTATGCAAACAAAAATTGTTGCAATTGAAAATTATGCAACGCTTCTGAAAAAAACCGATAAGAACCATTATGATTTCTCTCTCTCTGTCTGTCGGCCTCTCGCGAAATGCCGCTATGAAAAATCAATTTAAATAAATCGCAATCGGAACACGAATATTTCTATTTTCGGAATTTCAAGGAAGTTTCCTACTCATAGTTTTTTTCTCTCGTACTATTTTGGCCTAGGGTATTCTTTTTCCCAAAAAACACACAATTTTCTTCCGCTGCTTGAATGCTTTCGATCAGAAACGGGTTAACAACAATTGATAAGGCTATAAAAGTGCTGGCGAACGAATTGTATGTGTGTGTATTCGTTCGATTATAATTACACAATCTGATAAAAGAGGAAATTATGAAAATAACAAACGCAGAGAGCGAGAGCGGAATTGCGCGAAACTGCAACTCGTATAAAAGAGATTTTAAATAATCGTATCGGTGTCCGCATCAATAATTCAGAGTCGAGTTTATTGTTGTTCCTATTCTCATTTTTCTAACGAAATTTATTTCACATTTGTTATGATTCAATGTATGAAGCAAAAAACGTGCAACAACAGCAGAAGCAGCAGCAGCAGCAGTTTCATAGCTGGCTGTCCCATTTCACCTCAATGTCTGTATATTTAATAGGCATTATTTCATATTTTTCACATTTTAAAAATAACATAAAGCGTAACATTGTACATTCGCTTGTGTACAACGTACATACACATTTATTTCAAGAAACTTGCTTGAATCTTCCGAGTCGGAGGAATTTGTGGTTTGTGAGAATTTTCGATGGGCTGCTGCTGTTGCTGCTTCTTTTTTCTCGCCGTACTGTTAAAATGGATTCAACAAAAGAAACTAATGCCTAAATTGTGTGTGTTTTGTACAAATGATGAAAATAAAAACACACACACACACCGAGGTAGAAACAACCCGCGCCGCGCGCGCACAAACAGTGAAAACTAAAACAATACGCAATGAGAGAAAACTGCAAGTTAAAAAGCTTAAATTGCTCACAAAATAAAAACAAAACAGAGAAGAAGAAAGAAAAACTCATCTACAATTCCGGCTGGATGACGATGGCGAGCGCGCGAGGCCTCTATGTATATGTTTATGTTTATTTCGATGTTTGATTATTACCAGCAATTATGTGTATTTGCATTCATTACGACTGTGATGTGTTTACACAGCAAATGCAGCGATCTCGTGCGCGCACGTCTCCAGCCACAAAATTCACATTCGCTTTTTTTTCCCTACAATAATAATGAAACACATTTCTTTTATTAGCGAAAATGTTACATAAAACAAAAAGTTTGCAACAAACAGCACAGCCGAGTTTGAAGTGTGAGTGCACGAGCAATGATGATATTATCGAGCGACGAGCGACGAGCGAGAGAGATAAAATTGATAAGTTTTGTGTTTGTGCATAGATGTGGATCGCCACCGGTAACAACAGATTCAGAAAATAAAAAGTAGCGGCCATTTAATATCGATGCATAAAATTAATGCAAACCAACAGTAAATCACAATGTGAATATCATTTTTCGAAATTAATCTTCAAAGTCCATCTACCGATTATGGCATGCTTCCTTTAAATCCACATCATTATCTATTTCCCACTCTTCGGTTGCATTTTTATCTCTATCTCTATTTTCATCGAATTTTCATGCATTCAAAATAGTCACAACTTATTGACTAGTTTTTTTTCTGCACAATCCTCTATTGATAATTTGTTTATGATTTTTTTCTTTCGCTCTGTGTTATTGTTGCACATCAATTTTGTGGTTTCAGTTAAGCTGCTTATTGGTTGCGTGTACAGTGATCATTTTCCGTTCCGCACTCCAGGTACATATATGTATTGTGTACGGGTACGCGCTTGACGTTCTTGTGTCGTTTTTTTTCTCAGTTCACCGTCGGCACATTGTAACATTTTGCTCACTGTCATTTCAAGTGGATTTTTAACGTTCACAATTTCATGTTTTATTGACACATCACTGTGTCACCCATTGAATTTTCCATTTCAAACAATGGAATCGTTCAAACTGATTTGAGCCCTATTTAAAGACCAAAAGTCAATTAAAAAAAAAAACAAATAAAAAAGTTAACTTAATATTCTCACACCCCCGCATCGATTTTGCGCAAAAAAAGACTTATTACAACAATCAACCGAACAATATGAGAACTCACACACCGAACACAATTGAATAATGGTCTTCAAACTGTGAAATCAATAGAATAATAGCAAACATGAGCACTGGAGATAGTCAAAAGAGAGAAAGAAATTAATTTGAAGTGAATAAGAAAAACAGAATCTATTGATTTCTTTTTTATTCGTTCCACAGAATTCGTTGAGTTTGTTGTCTTGAAAAACCATAAATAAAATATGTTGAAGGAAAAAAATAACGAAGAAAATTCAATTCGGTTTTTCGGGTACCTGTATTTTACCTGTTTTCTCTCTTGCATTTGATATTCAGTCAAAATATTTTGTGTTTTCATCTTCTATTTTATTTTTGTGAAACAATTTTGTGTCCTCTGCTTTGGCCATCAATAGAGCTGGATCGTTAGAAGAATTTCTTTGGAAAGTTAAAACGTTATTTGAAACGCATTCAATAAATTTTCTTGGGTGACACACACACACACACAAAACGATTCTTAATTTTTGCATAGGTTTTCGTTTTGGAATAATATGAACAAGATCTTTGAGGTTTAGTTTGACATCGATTCATTCGTTTATTCTATTTCTGTTTAGCATTTCCAAAATTGAATGCTCCGACCAAATTCATAAGCTGAGTATCAAATTATGTTTTACATATAAATTTGCCGTTGAGAAATAGGCAAGCTTCACGTTCAACGACACAAAATTCAAGCATAGAATGAATCGGCTGTATTGATTGTCATCGACCTTTGTAATTTGAATCCTTTCAAAATATTGTTGTCTGAAGAATGCTCAATTTTCAGCTTTGAATTTTGTAAACAAAAAAAGAATGAACCACGCAGCAGCTCATTTTTTTTTTCATCGAGGGAGTGAGAACGCCAGTCGAATAATTAAAATAAAATCGAGTAAAAACTTCGATACATTCTGACACAGTCGCAGCCAAAGACACACAAGAACACCAAGTGCAAATAAGAACAAAACAATAATAAATCAAAATTGATACACAAACAAAAACCCAATGGGAGTGAATTCAATATATACATTGGCTACGAGGTAGTTTGATTCTCTTTGTTCATCTCTTTTTTTTTCCATTCCTTCTCTTCGTTTACACTTTCAACATGTATCCTTCGTGAAAATGAAGCGAATGGGCAAGTTTAATTTACAGCGTACTCACAAAAAAAAATGTTTTATATGTGGAATATGAAGAACGAATTTGCGTCTGTGGCAAACACTTCGTTGTTGCCCATTTTTCTCTTTTCTTCGTTTGCACAATGATTTTTCCGTTTTCTTCGAAATCAACAATGCTCTCGATTCACGGTGATTGTTCAGTTTTTCTGTTTTTGGATGGGTTTTGATCGAAAGTGTGCACTCAAGAAATCATACACATTTTTTTAAATTAACGAAAAAAAGGCCAAACTATGTCGATTTCCAACAACTGCACAAAGTTCTCGTTTATTGTCGAAATCATTAATTATGAAAAATGGGATTCCAATAAGGAATCGCACGCCGTGACAAGAAGCTGTGCTTTCAATTTTTCTAAATCGTTTCTTTTTCTTCCTCTGTCGATCCATTTTTTTTTTTATTGATTATTCTTTTTCGTCTCTTTTGTACACGGCGTTAATAGTTGTACTATGCAGATACGCGCCGTGCTATTGTTACGAAAATAATGGCCGTGAGTGTGAATCACACATTAACTGGGCATTTGTAACAACATCCATAGAGGAAGAAAAAAACAACAAGATAAACAATTTTCAAAAACTGACACGTACAATCGAGAAAAAGGGAAAAAAATAAATAAATAAATCAATGTAATAAATAGAGCGCTAGATAGAGCGAGAGCATACTGCGTCGAATAATGGAAACGGAATGATGCACAACGAATGGCATTAGAAAACCCGAAAATTTCGAAGAGGTCAATCTCTTTTCCGTCGATCGATTCAATTTATTTTAGTTAATGCTGATTGCTGGCACATTCTCTATCTCGCGCTAGCACCTCTAGCAGCACACGCTATTCAACTCCACTCGTGGATCTCAAATTTTTTTTTCTCGCGCGCTTCGTATGAATTAAAAATTTCTGAAGTCAAACGAAACAACAAAAAAATATGATAAATGTTTTAATATCGATTACAGCGCCGCGTCGAAGTGTTCCATAGCAAATGGTAAACTGGCAAACAATTGAAAAATCAACGTTTTTTCTACCACTTCTTTGGTTCATTGATTAAATGTCGAATGTGTTAGCGCCCGGTGTGTGGTGGCTCTTGTCCATCGGATAAATGATTTAAATTGATCATTCATTATGCAAAGAAAATCGGTTTATTCCCGTTGTTTGCCCATTTGTTGTTGTTGTTGTTGGTCTTCGATTCGTCAGAGATTTAATTACCGCGCATCGATTCGTTCATAAATCAGTCGACGCTAATCGCTGAGTATCGACTTGTGTGATTTAAATCTCACTAATTACATTGTTAATATTTTATGGCAGATTTGCTTCGAAGAATACATCAAAATATTTCACAATAAATATGAATTATGAGGTGCGGCGAGCGCATGTCGATTACATTATTTATTGGCCATCGAAATCAAATTCAATCACTGATATTTTTTTTCTCCACAAATCACGTTGCCGCAAAGTGATCCAAGTGGATTTTTTTTGTTTCGTTTCAAAAAGAACTCTTGTACACAATATGCGAAAATATTGCCAATTTTTCACCTATTTTTAGCGGCTCGTCCAATTGAATTGCCTTTTTTTGTACTTTTCAACGAAATACAGTCCTTGAACTGGCAATTGGAAAAAAAACCAACATTGATTGAACGGTTTAAAAAGAAACACCAAAAAAAATGATATGACTTTTGTTTCTCCAATTCTTATCGTAACACTGATTAATTACGTTATCGCGTCGAAAACGAAATATAGACCTTAGATGTCAAAAATGATTTTCACCAACTTGCCAGCCATTGATAAGCGACATTGTTCCTATCGCAGAAAAAAAAAACGTTTGTGCTAAAAACAAATTTGCACTCCTGAGTATTGTTCTTTGTCTATTTTAAACACCAAAAAACTTGAAGTGCCATTTTTCAGCGCCGATAATCCGGTAAAATCGATAAGAATCAAACAAGTTGAGTGCACTGATTGAATGTGACCGCTGAACGGTCACAGATCTACACATCGAACGGAATCCGTATGACGGATATGTGCCAATACAATCGCAGTGAAACGTTTAAAAGCGATAATTTTGTTTTAAAAATTTCAATATTTCATCAGCAATTTTCCGTGATGATTAAATTTTTCGGTATAATTGCTCATACTTAAGATTGATTTACCGTTAGGAACAGAAAATCGATCAGCCCAAAGCTGATTGAAAATGTTAATCTAATTTCTTATCGCCGAGATTGACGCGCAACAAAACACACCACACTGCAAAGTGCGTTGTCAATCGATTAGATTTCGGCAATGACAAACGCACAAATCCGCTCTGCCTGATTTGTCAACAGCTTGCTGTGCGATTAGATGAAATGGAATTTCCTTATATTACGATAAAAGATAAATACATGTACTTTAAAATCGAAATAGCATTCGGTTCGGTTGCCGTGTGTTGTTTTTGTTGTCCAGAATTGTCAAAATTATCTCTATAAAGCAATGATTGATTTTCCACATTCTCTTTTCTTGATAACGTGAATTGATTCGCAAGTCGGTGAAATCAATGCCGTTTCTTTTTCGATGTTTAGCCATCGAAAGGCGAACGCGCGCTGTATCTGATACACGTATCTTGATGTCTAGTAACGTTTTATCTCTTTGGTATGATAATCGCAATGGAAAATGAACAACAACAAAACTCAGCAATAGCTGTGTACACGTTTTTATTCGCAGTTTGATCACCAATATTAATTACATAGATGATCAGTTGAGCGATTGCTTTCGTTAACCATCGACAAGTGTTTGGATTTAGAAGGATTTTATTGCATCGATTAATCGGCCGTTTTGCAGTTATATTCCATACAGTAATTGAGACACGACGTTTTTAAATTGCAGAAAAGCTATTAATCAATAAACGATCACGACTCCATTCATTCGTTCATTCAATCAGTCGGTTGCATCGGTAGTTTACAAGTTTTCCGCGGATTGAAATGCATAACAATTTTGTTGACAGATTTTTTTTTTATTTTTTTTTTATTGCATTTTGAGTTTTTTTTTTTTTAATTTTGTGACATCTTTTGTATTTTTGTATCTTTTTTCTCTTTTTTTGCCTCTTTTTCCATTGATTTTTCAATACTCTCTTCAATATTGAACTCATTAGGCAAAAATTGAAACGAATACTCTGCCAACGAAAGAACTGACCTCGAAATTGTCACACAAAAAACCGCTCATAAATAGTTCTTCTACCTTATTTTGTGCACAATGTTTCAATGGTTTGTTTTTCTTTCTGCTTCCTTACAGATCATCCACATACACACACAGAGAGAGAGAGACATCGATAGTAAATCGGATATAGGATCATTAGGGGTTGGCGCCTGACATTAACCGATTAGTAAGCATCAACAGAAGAGAGACAGAGCAAAGGTACGGGCGGTGTGCAACACAGTTTCGTTTCAAACAAAAGGAACAAAAGAGACGAAGGTGTGAGCGAGACAGAACGAGACAGCCGAAGGATTTTCAATTGTGGCAAATAGTTGTCGCACACACGATCGATCCGAATAGATTTTAGTATTGTGCACGCAGCCAAGGCAGTCGTACATAGTTTTTTGTGCACTGCTTGAGCAGTTGGAATTTGTCTATCGAGCCATTTTCAATCGATTTGTGCATTCATTTTCATCCGCAAGTTAATAACCAATGAAATAGCTCAATTAAAATTATTTGTGGTACAAGATTCAACGGAGAGTTAAAAAAAAATCCACAAAAATACACTTTTTAATCGGCCGTATAATTTAATTTGTGGTGAGTCAAAGTAAACATAAAAATTCTGTTCGCATGTGAATTATTTAAGAAAAAAAAAAACGAACGAACTTGATAAAATATCGGTATTTGATGGTCAACCTAAAAATATAACATTTTCATCGTTTCTTCTCGACTAAACGAAAAAATTCGTCGTGTGGTGTGAGAGTACCAAGAATGATAGTTTTATGTGAATCAAAGACTCTCACGGTTCAAAAAATCGAGTGACATTTTTTTATTTATTCATTCTTTTTGCTCCGTCTCCTGTGTCTGTGTGCATCATTTGGATATTTTGTTTTATGATCAAACATATTTTATTTCCAATTGGCTCCGTGTCTAATACTTCGTTTTTTTGTTTTATGTTCAGTCGTCATCGTGTGATTTTATTACCGAACGAAGAAAAGAACCAGAGAGTTGAAAAAAAGAGCAAGCAAAAGAAAAAGCAAACAAATAAAATCAATAAAAATAAAACCACAAAATAAAATGATGAGCGAATGTCTTCTTAATGTAAAAACAGTCGTGGTCATCGAGTAATTCATGGACGAAGAAAGAAAAAAAAAGAATCAAATCCCATATAAATCGATCAACAGCACACAAATCACAGCCCAATTAGTGCGTGATAATAACAGAAACAGTATAAAAATTTAAGCAAAAAAAAAAAAACCAGGAGAGCGCGCGGTGTGTAAAATTTTTGTTTGTTTCACATATTGAAAACGTAAAGAGAACTCTATGATTATGGATATGACATCGGCGGCTGAGTCGAGGTGGTACGACAATCCACGATTGAGTGGATCACCAAATGCTGGGACAAGCCATCAATCGACCGGCTCATCTGGCACCGCAAATGCCAACAATGGAGGCATCGTCGATGCATCCGATATGGGTGCATTCTATTCGCTCGAAAATGCCGGCCATCGAAGATACTACTCCACTGGATACGGACCACATGGTATTTATTTGAAAACTTCTTTTTCGTTGTTATTTCTTCATTTTTGATTGTGATGAACGGTTTGATCATAAAATTATCGCATTCTACCAACAGAAACGGGAAAAAAACATTAGAAAACTTGGAAAAAAAGTCAAGTCACAATCCAGAATGAAGTTATTTTTGTAGAAATTAGAATTGATTAAGGAAAATCTAAAAAAAAAAAACAAACAAATACCTATTCCCATGAATATACAAAACAAAAAAATGGTTAACGAAAAAAAAAAACGAGTGAAACAATTTGGATAATAAATTAACAAGTTATGAATCACATTTTCGGTCGCTCGCGCTTTTCACACAGGCGGACCAAGGCAAAATGAATGCGAAAAGCCAAATGAAGAGACAGATTCGCGTCGTTGTCATTTGACCACCGTGAGATAGCACCGTGCCGTGCCGTTGGCTATTTGCATACTTTACACGGTCATTAAGCGCACAATGTATTTTTGCGTTTGTGTTTTTTTCTTCATCTTTCGACGAGACCAATCTGCAGGAGCCCAAAATTGTGTACATTGCGTGCAACGATGCAAACGCGCGCACACACGAAACAGCCGAAAAAGTCGAAGCTCATAAAAATTAATTCAATTATCAATAAAATTATTTAAATTGATAATTTTATAATTCGGCTAATGTCAATTCGATAAATTTTCGGTTATCGCTTTTCGCTTACTGCCGTCCCTGTCGCATCCAAACTGCGGCTGTATACGCAACGGACAGCAAGGAACATTGCGAACAAGATTGTGAATATCATACGGTCGACGATTTCAAGCGATAATTTACAAGACATATCTTCTGAACGTGCTGGTTCTGATGTGTTTCGGATTATAGATGTTTCGCTTCATTTCAAGTGGTTATGTTTGGGCAAGTTGTCATCGTTATATTTTATGAAGGTTTGTTGCTGTGTGCGCGCACGATCGCGCACAAACAACCGACTCAATTGTCACCGGTGCTGATATCAAACCTGTGCCTTTTTCTTCGTGGCACTTCTCGCAGCTTCATTGTAGTAATTCATTTTTCAAGTAAGTAGTTGAAGTCAGATACTTGAGCATCAAGTTTTTTTCCGGTGCGCATTTTTTTTTCTTCAATTCTCTCTGCTCCTTTAAGAGAACGATCGAATGAGTGAGCAAACGATCCACTCGAACTGGATATTGCTTGTGGTAACTTGTGGTTGGTAATCATTATACATGTACGTCGGGCCGTTTTACGAGCGCGTGTATGTGTCTTGATTTAAATAATTGTCGCATCATAATCATTAAAATATCAAAAACAAAACGATGTAGAAGAACAAATCGCGCGAGCGCAACCGCACACACACATGAAACGCAAAGGAAGGCAAACGACGAAAAGGAATACCAGCAATAAACCAAAAACAGAGTGTGCAGACAAGAAAAGCAAACGGACAGCACTAACAAGCAACAACAGCGTTTTCACTGTGTTCAACATTTTTTTTAATCGATCGAAGCATTGAAGGAAGATCGTCTCTCTCTCTCTCTCTCTCTCTCTCTCGGTGTGTTTTTGTTTGCCTTGTCTTGTCTCTTTGCCTCTCTCCAAGAGATGTGTCGCGAGGAATTCTCTTCCTTTTTGCACTCACAACTGCCACAATTCGACGAATAACATAATATTGAAGGCGATACAGCCGCGATCATCGTCTAACCATATATGCACCGATTTGAGAGCTTTATGTGTGTGTAAATTTCACGGACCCAATCCAATGAAAATCTCAAAGTGATTCCGTTCCAAATCAAATAATAAACGGAGCTCTCTTGTGCCTTCCTCCTTATCATTCGTTGTAAATTTTAATTTTATAATTTATTTCAAAAGCCCCAGCACAAACTAAAAACAATACGCAACAACACACAGCCACAGGTTTTTTTTTCTTCGTTTCTTCGTTTTGTTGTTACTGGTTTTTCAGGTGCTCGTGCGCTCCTACCTCGTGTGTCACTAACACTTGTATGCGATAACAAATGTCACCCGAAAATTATTTAATTTGCATATTTCGATTCCCATGCTATATTGGACGCGTTTTGTCGATGACGACGCCAAAAAGTATAACGACAGGCCAAACACAGCAACAGGAGAGAGAAGAGAAAAAAAACACAACAACAACCACACGTTTAGTAGCAAACACGCAGTAACAGTTAAAATCACAATTTTATCTCGAACCATTTATTTGTTGTTTCTTCTCTCTAGTCGGATTTTTCGGTGCTTCTGAATATAAATATACTTCTCTCTGTGTGTTTGAAATGAAACACACAACATGATTAAAATGACAACAGTGAAATGGTATCAGAGAGTGAACGAGCGAATGCTTTGCATTTTCTTAATCGCCATGCGATTCGTAAACTGATCTACATGCAGTGATCTTAATTTTTGGCACGATTTGCTCGCAATCTTTGGTCTTTTTGCTCAGAATCATCTGCTCTTTTTTTCAATCATTTAGAATCTGCATCTGAACGGATTCACAGCCCAAACAAAATCAATGTTCCAACATTTTTTACCACATGCTAAATGACATTATTAAAATTATCGAAAAATATGGCTTGCAAAGAAACAACACAGAATCGTTTTGAAGCTTTTTTTCTTCCAAAAAAAAACCTGGCTCAAAGAGGAAAAGGCATTTGCCACAAAAAAAATGCAAATACCTGGTTGGAATAAATTAGTCGTGATACTAATTAACATTGGTAAATCTTTACTTTAACTTAATTTACGGGGGGAAATGTTTTGAATTCAAATGTTTCGTCGTTTCATTCGGTCATTGGCTGTTTTATTGTGTTATGTAATGGAAAAGGTTACCAAAACGTCTTTGAAATGACATACATCAAAATCGGAGCGCAGAAATTTCGACTCTTCCTTTGAGCACAAGATCTCACATTTGTTTTAGAGTTCGAACCTCAATTCCACGGAACATTGGGTATTGCTTAAAAAAAAATTAATTTGCAATGTTAATCTGCTAAGTGGCTATCGCGCGCTTAACAATAGATACAGTAGTAAAACATTCTTGACGTTCGACCAGGAAAAAATACGCAAGAGAAAAACATCCAAAATATTTGAAATGGACATTTTTATCTTGGCTCATTTAGTATAATAAAATCACCGATCAATTTAATGGATCACCGGTTCGAGAAAAACAAAATGTTTGGCTGTTGCGACCACGACGATGGAAAGACACTGCGCAATATTTTGTAGGTTTTTCAAAACTTTGTTCAGTTTATTTCATTCGGACGCGCTATCAATTAAAATGTCATTTAGTTGGCTGATTTGAATTCTTCCAATTAAAACGGCTGTGCAAGAGCGGCGATATAGGCTCACACAAGCACACAGCGACACCAACAGCCGACCCAATGAAAACCTAGCCAGAGAAAATATATTAAACATCAGTGTTAATTATATTAAATCTATATTTAATTATGCTCTTTTTTTCTCCTCTTAACGACATAATCGTTCGCGCGGATCGATTCCAATGAAGAGTGCAAAAAGGCAAACCTTAAAAAAATAGTCCGAAACGAAAGACGAAAAAAAATAATAATCATTATAACACGTAATAATTAAGTTGACTTGAATTATGCAATATAAATTTATTTTGTTTCTCCAGTTTTCTTAAAATGCAATTTACATTGTAATTTAACCGAGTGTGGCACAGTTTGTGTATGTTTTTCTGAACAAAAACAAACATGCTAGAGCCCAAAGCGCAAAGCGCAAAGCTACCGCGTGGCTCTGAGTCAAATAGTCATATACATATGTGTATGTGCAGATGCAGAAAAAACACACTCCACATATATGTATAAATTGTGGCTGAATGAGAGGAAAAAAAAAAGAATTTTATTTTCGATTTTCGCGCATAATTTATCGTGTTGAATTTTAAACATTCATCACCGCACGCACATTTTATAATGTGCAATTCGGTCGAACTTCAAACTGTCGACGAGTCAACTCTATATATAGTTTTGTCTCAGTTCACGGCGAGAGAAAGAGAGCGAGAAAAAAAAATGGTGGCTGGTTTTGTGTTCACGTGAGTGCTCCGCGGCTACTCGCTTATTTGATTATAATGAAGATATTGCATCACATGCTCGAAGATGGATTTTGTGGCCGCCACTACTACTGCATGTGTGTGTGAGCGGTGAGTTGTTCTCGCACCACATCTCGGTGGCACATTTCAATTAAATTTATTTCAAACGCATTTGATGCAAACGCAGTGTCGTGTGCAACAGCAACAGCAACGACAGAAAAAAATAAGTGGCAGCAAATCGATTAAACATCGAAGCCTACACACAACCACGACTATCATATTTGTTATGTTGACTGGTCGACTCTCCATATACAACTCATGAACGCTCACGCACATCGAACAACGACGCACACAAACACAGAATAACGCCACACAGTCGGCCAAGTCAAGCCAAGCAAAGCAAAGCCAAGCACACCACATCCAATCGTCAGCTAATAAGCTGCCATCATCACCTGTTTAGTTCTTCACACAAAACAAATAACACTTTTTTTTCCATCGTCGTCGTCGTCGTCATCATCATCAGCGTCATTGTCTTGTTCTTCTTAAAATCCATTGATTTTTGTTCGACTTTTTAGGAAATCACATCAAGCAGATCGGTCAAGCACGAATAGACGCACGATCGAAGAACAACAGCAACCACATTAAAATGTATAAAATTAAAAGCCATAAATATTTATAAGAAATCGATATAGATACAATTTCATTGTGTGTGTATTGGTGTTGTCAAGTACGATGCCTAATAGTGTGCGCGCGAGCAAGAGAAAGAAGAAACGAGAATTCATTCTCGTCCATCGGTTTCACACACATATCGAGAAAGAAAAAAACCATTGTGATTGTCACCTCAATGTATTTCTCCTCGCTCATTGGTAAAAAAATATGTAATTTTAATAGTTGTTGACACATTCACACGATCTTTTCCGATAAAATACGATGTATACGATTGCCCCGTTTTACCGGTGCA